CAGTGCTTTCAATAAGATTTGAAATAGGTGGCTACCTCGGTACAACACCCGCCGGAGAGCGACTTGATTGCGACTTAGCGTGGCGACTGCGACTTGAGCGCGGTGAAATATACCCGGCGACTCGCAACAGAATAGCCGCCGGAGCTCCGGCGGGTGCCAGGTCTTATTGAAAGCACTGGGTCTTAAAATGATTGAGAAGAATATGCTACCTTTCTATAACATCAAGAAATGGTTAGATATTCTAGTCTTCTCGGATAGGGACGAATAAATGGAGGTCCCATCTCCTGCAGGAGGGGTAGGAGATGTTAATTTCCCACGCACAAATTACTGTGTGATGGATGTCCTTCCCTGGGGTGGGATGGGTGGGTTGGGTTTAGGTGAATGAACTTCGTAGGGGACTACATGTCCTATTGTTCTTCCACCTGTACAATGTACAAATCTTTAGAAAAAAAAAGAAAAAGAGAGGGAGTGTAAAATAGCCTATTTGGCCTCATTCTCAAAGAAATTCCTGGTACTTCTCCTTTGGTATGATTACAGGTTTTCAGTCACATGAAAACTAAACCCATTTTCATACAAATATACCAGGCCTTGTATCACTGTTTCCTCTAGCCATATCTTTCTGTATTTGACCCAGTTAGACATGCAATATTTGTGAAGTTCATACTAAAGATACAGTTGAAAATCTGTTTTGAAAGTTTATTTTCCATTTCTTGCAGGTGATGAAAAAGGTCAGATCATTGCATGGAGGTATGCAGAGGGAAATCTGTTTGCAGCTTGTCCTGTCCAAGATCATATATTCTCCATAGCTCTCTCCTATATTTCACAAGGTGAAATAGCCGTTGGGTGAGTTCAAACTGATTCTAGAAAATGTACAGTGTTTTTGTCTCTATCTACTGTACCATAAGCCAGTTTAGATTTTAAGCAATATTCCCTGTCAAAGTGGCCCTGTACAATTTCATCCTTCACCATTAAACAATGTCCTGTTTTGGACAGTTCCATCCAATTTAACGTAAATATTTTTTCTATGCTCTACAAATCTCTTGTATGGCCAATTTTGGAATATGTGGTACCTGTCTGGTGTCCTTATCTCGTCAAGGACATCCATACTCTTGAGAATGTACAGCGAAGAGCTTCAAGACTTGCTTTAAATCAATGCAAAGGAGACATGTCCTACGAAGACCAATGCAAATTGCTAAAATGGACTACTCTTTCCGACCGTAGAACTTATCTATCTTTAGTTGAGTGTTATAGAATTGTTTTTGGTTTTTACCATTTAGATTTTGGAAACTTTTTTGATTTCGTCACAACTAGATGTACGAGAGCAAATCATCAGTAAAAACTTTACGTCAAACCAGCAAGACTTAATTGTTATAAACATTCGTTTTTCATTAGGATTGTTAAATTATCGAATGAATTACCAAGAAACATAGTGGAAGCTGATAATCTTCAGCATTTTAAATCTCAGCTTAAATTGTACTTAAATATTTYATTATAACTAAGTATTTTATTTTCATTTAGACTTATTTTTTAGGGAGTTTTCACATAGGGATAACCTCTTAACTTCCTTTTCTGGAAGCATATTTTCCCTTTCCTCTTAGTGTATACATAGTCTGCTTCTGGAATAAATAAAGTATGTATGTATGTATTTAGGAAAGTTCTGTCTGTTTTTGCACATTCCATCTGATTTCAGACAGTTCTGTTAAATATCTGGTTATTATTATCTTGTAGGTATAAGAGTGGTCTGATAGCTGTTTTGAATATTGATGCAAGCAGTGGGAGTTTTTCATTGGTGAACAAACTGCAAGGACATTCCAGTGACATTCAAAGTCTTGCCTGGTGTCCAGCACCCAAGGAACACATTGACTTTGGTAAATTTATAAAACCATAATAGATATATTTATGGGGTAGGGTAAAGTCTGTTTGCTTGTCCATTGCAGGAGTACCCCCCAGTATTAAATTCAATGGTACCCATTTAATCGCCTGGGTGAAGAGAGGCACTGTGAGATTAAAGTTTCTTGCCTACGAACACAATGCAATGTCCACAGTCAGGGCTAGAACCAGGCCCACTTGATCTGGAGTCGAGCGCACTAACCATGAGGCTACCACACCTCCCTCACTATATTATGCAGACCAATAGGGGGAAGGGAGGGGAAGTGGTCTTCCTACTTGTTCATCATTTTGCATGTAATGGGTTGCCCAGCAGTTGCAAGTTAATAGATAATAATAATGATAATAATAATTTAATATTTATATTGTGCAAATGAACATGTGGATATCATCAAATGCGCATCACAACACTTTTCGGGAGACTTTGGCTGGACTGCATCAGCAGTTTACAAGCAATCGAAGGAAACTTATTTGAAGATGCCCCCTCCCCTCCCAATTCCCAGTAAATAGGCCAGACCACAACACAGTAATCTTGTGAGTGGGTTCTTTAACATCCCCTGCCTAACTAAATTAACCAATGAATAGATGCAGGTGATGAGACCTATGATTTATTCATCCTTATCCGAGAAGACTAGAATGTCTATCCATTTCTTGTTATTATAGAAAGGTAGTGCATTCTCCTCAGTTATTTTAAGACCTTGAGTGTGGGTCCGGCCCGGGCTTGAACCATCGACCTCGACCTCCCTCACAACAGTCCAGCACTCTGACCAATTGAGCTAACTGGGATTTGACATTTTTACAAAAGAGATTTACTAATCAGATTTGATTAGAGGCTTGCTAAGAGGTGCATTATTTTTAGGTCCCATACAAGACAAAGTTTCAGCTGCTGAAGGACACTTGTTAGTATCAGGTTCAAGGGATCAGACAGTCAGATTATGGAATGCAGCACAAGGCAAAGTTCTGTCCATTAAACAGCTGCCTAAAAGATCATCACGAAAGGAAAAGCATGATTCTTACAGCCCCAGGGACAGATTGTGGGTCAGTGTCTGCTGGCCTGTGGCATCACCGGGTCATGTTATTTCTAGCAGTCATGGGTAAGTTAGAGTGCAGAGTCAGGGAGCTTATAAGAGGTAAATCCTTTGAAAAGAGGAAAATTTGATGCAGGTGATAGTCATGTGATAGAAATTGGAAACATAGCAAAAAATATGAGCCACGGTCAACGTGCATGGTTTTGTCCTGTATTCCTGGTATTCAGATTATTGGTCTGTTAAAAGTTTTGAGAGATATGAGTAGACTTGATTTTAGCAGCTGTAAATAATTTTGTTATTATGCAAAAATTTTGAATCGTATTTCTGAAACTTAGATCCTATTTGTTTGTCTGGCCTAACATCTTGTAATAAACTGATTTCAAATTAATGACTGCTCATCACTTCACAGGTTTACTAGATAAATGTACCAACAAAATTACCAGCCTCCAGTTACAGTGTAGCTTGTTAATAGCTCAGTTGCTAGAACAACTTTGCTGGTATTGCAGAGGTCATGGGTTCAAATCCTGTTCAGGCTTGAATTTTTTTCAAGCCCTTATTTTTCACTACTGCTAAAGTAGTGTTCATAACTACATAACTGTTCTATCTTCAGTCTGTTGCCGGGAATTCGACCAAATACTTCTTCCTGGGTTGAAATGCATCTAGTTTTCAAAAATTCATGTGAAAATAATGCAAAAATGATTGGTCTAAAACTGGATGTAATCAACAGTCGCAAGTTATTTCCCAGGGACAAAGTATTCTTGAATTAAACAATTCACAATATTTTTATCATCCCTTAATTTATTTTACATAATCTGGTGCATAGTGGCGAACTTTTGTTGTGGGATCTCAGCAAGAATGAAGGGAAGGGTCAATGTCAGACGTTTGGCGTGGGCCATTCAAGAATAGTGTTCAATATCAGTTGTGACATTGCTGGTACAAGAGTGCTGACTGCCTCTATGGACAGACAGGTACTTATTCTAT